TTTACGACAAACGTTCTGGAAAATATTAGCGTTTCGTGTTTGTTTTGACGTCGTGTGGACGGGGCCTTAAGCCAGGCTAACATTTCCTTTGACGACACCTCTTTCAGAGACATAGACAGGTATGGGGCATCACAGGCTTACAAAAGAAGCCAAATGACCCCCATTCAAAAAAACAAGACTTTGTTGGGCTACTGTATAAAGCCCCAAACTCAGAATCTTCCCCAGCAATATTAAAAGTAAGACATTTCCTGTTAAATCATATTTGACAGGGAATGTTAGAGGTTAGAGTTTGTTGTTTTTTGTGTCTAAATTAGCTTTTATAACAAATTCTAAAGCTTTACCATGAATCCAACAACCTTTTCTCTTTTCCAAAAAACACATGAGCAGTTAACAGACTTCTTTCCATTTAATAAATATGATTGTAAATGCATTAAACAATTACACACAGCACAGTTGAGGTCAAACAGAAACACTTGAACACCTTACCGGCTGTTCTCATACAAAAAGCTGTACAGTAATAAAACTTTATTTTTTGGAATATTATTTATATTTCTCTACAAAAATAATAATCTTGCTAATTCTGCAAGGATGAGATGGCAGGGAAGCGGGTCCAAAGCTCCATTATGTTTCCAGCAGCATCCAGAGGCAGTTACATCCAACTGATCGTCTCAAGGTTTTAAATTCAAAGGAAAGGGTTTCTTCTTGCCAAAGTCTCTTTTTAGGGATTAGGATTTGTATTCAGTCTTGTCTGATGCTTATCGTACGTCTGCACCGATGTGGTTACTGAACTTTAAAATAAATGCTGGGCATAAAGTTTTAAAAAGCATTTCTAGAACTTTTATTTCAGAAACAATCTAAATTCTAAAGGGTAAAAACATTGCAGTTTGTTTTAATGCTCCATTTCCAGCAAAACTGAAAAGAACATATACATCCGTGCAAAATACTCAACCACAAGTGGCAAACAATGAATAAACAAATATAGATCTGGTTCTGGAAAGTTCTGGAGTAATGTGCCTTTAGCTGATCAAATTTCACATCCTCTGGGTTAAAATTTTAATTGACAAATAAATCTGGAAATGCTTAACAGGAAAAAAACAAAACAAAAAAAACAACAACCTCTAAATCAATTATTAACAGCTTGATGTACTTTTTTGTTTTGACAATTCACACTTCTTGGCACATCTTGGATTTTAAATTGTTGGCAGCCTTTCGAAAAACAGGGAGTATAAGAAAAGAGATGTTTTACATACTGTGAAAGGGATCTACAATTAGTTGTGACGACACACTTTGAGAAAATCTTTATTTTTGATTTAAATATAATACAGTAAAAATACCGTAAACTGTTTACTTTCTATCAATCATTGTAGATCAGGAAATAATTAGCACTATGTCTCGTTAAGCTGAGAATGCCTTAAAAATGTGTATGCCAAGTATTTGAAGAGCTACAGCACTTCTATTAATTGAAATCCAATTACATCAGCGGCAACCAACATCTTTTTCTGCTGTCCTGGAAAAGAAAAGTGTCGTTTTCAATCTCTGTCGGTAAAAACAGCCAGCCTAGCTCTCTGACTTCACACTTCTGAGTGACCTAGAGTGCAGCATTTAATTCAAAGGTCTAAAATCCAATTACTCTGCCAGACTACCGCTTGCTTGTTACCCACCATCTGTCTCCTTGTACATTGGTTTAGAAACTTCTGCATTTCGACAACATCCTTCCTAAAGCTGTAAGCGTCTGCTGACTAGCTCATAAACATATTTGACAAACAGATTAACCTCATTTCCTCTTTGGGCTAAAAGAAAAAAATATATATTTTGAACTATTAACTTGTAAACTCTCATGTCCTGTCTTTGGGCTGTATGTGATGCCTCCAAATCTGCAGCCTCATACTGCCACAATTAGGCTACTGTACCCAATCACAGCAGTTTTATATGGCAGGCTAGACCCTCCCAAGGGTAAAAGGACAGCGGCTTATCTAATGCATCCTTTTTCAGGAGTTTCGCAATAACTTTCGTTGATTTTGTTGCAGCTAATTAGAAGGTTACACTTTTTCTTCCTTTGTTTTGGAATACAAAAATATTTTCTCACATTTAGGAACCCTTTTTTTTATCCTGAATGGCAGGACAAGAACTGAACCGGACCGTGCCAGACACAACTGAACCAGTTCATCAGTAGGGGTTGGCGTGGTTCAATTGTGGCTCGGTTCTCAGATAACAAATGAGCGCATGAGCAAACCACGTCATCTCCTTACGGTCAGCCTCCATGATCATTACATTTCAGACATTCATAAAAATACTAGCTTCCCTACCATTCCACACAATTTTTCGGTGATGATTCTGCTTAGCAGTGTGATGAACCTCAACGTCTGTCGTTGTGTCCTGCGTCTGTAAGCCCTGATTAGACTTTCATTTGTCGTATCCACTTCCTAAAAGCCGACTCCGCCCTCGCCTGACTCTCCGCAAACTTCCTGAATGTTACAGGCGCTGCCATGTTGATTTGCTTGTTTCCTTCTAGAGAGCAGTAGTACTGTAGATCTCCACTAGGAGGCAAGGAACCGTGCGAGTGTGGTGTGTAAATGGTCATAAGGAACCAAACTTGGCACGGTTAACTGATTCAAGTTCGGGTTTCAGAGAGTAGTGTAAATGGTTCGAAAGAGAGCAGGAGCAGACCGCATAGTCTCCAAGTCACAGTCAGCTGACTAATTTCATGGCTTTTTACGCCGTGTCCGGCTGTACAATTGTCAGATCTCTTCACCTGTTCACAACACCATCTTCTTCTCACCCTATTAACAATAAATGGAATCTAAAGAGCCTGGTGCGACCAGGGATGATGCAGAGGTTGAGGCTCTCGTTGAAATTTGGGCTGAGGCTGCTATCCAAGCACATAAGTTCCTGAATATCTTGGGTGCTGCCTTAAAGTCATAGGGGAGCGGCTGTTCCAACCGTTGCATTTCCAAATTCTCCTGAGTGGTGCACGACTTTACACGAGTGAATAAAGTGAATGTGATTGGTTGTTTATCAAGGGGGCGGGATTGTTGTGGTGGAAGGTTTGCAAGCCCATTTGGTTGTGGCCGGTTTCTCAGAAGCATCTTGCTAACAAGTTGCTAACCTGCCAAAGACACAGACGTTTATCCCCATGAACACTGGGACGGAACTCACCAATAAATTATTCTTATTTCAACCGCTGCGTATATTAGCTGCGACATAAGAATCGAGATGCTATAACTGAAAAAATTTGATTGACAGATGAACTTTGATATATGATTGGCCGAATTTAGATGTACAAGCTGACATATTACTAACATGCCTGCATAAGTAATGAAAAAACCCCACAGATTTTAGGGCAGAATTTTTTTTAAAACTGAAATTTTCCAAATTTTGGGACATTATCTGATAAAGAGTACATTTATATACATGTTTAAGCCAGAATGATTTGACATTTAAATATGATTTCCCTACGACTTTAAGAGCTGTAGTATCGATAGGAGGCGAGGTACGATAGAAGAGCCGTGCTAGCATGATGTGTAAATGGTCGTAAGGAACCAAGCTCGACATGCTTAACTGATCCAAGCTTGGTCCGAACTCGGCACGGATTGGTTTCAGAGGGCTAGTGTCAATGTGGGCTTTGTATGATATTGTAGGGATGTTTTTTTCATCAAGAGGAAAACTGAAAAAAGTTATGGAGTAGATAAAAAGATGAAAATATGTAGCAATGCCAAGTGAATTTTGCAAAAAATCTGCCAAGGAACTACAGGGGGGAATGTAGAAGCAGTTTTATTGCCTTATACTTATTTATGGCCCTATACTTACTTAGCAACAAAACAGTACATGCTGAAGGTCAAGTATGAGTCTTAGCAATAATAAAGTCCCTAATGCGTTATTCGTATGCAATTAGATGATGAATGAGGAGGTTTGGCATAAACAGGGAACATCTGTATAAACGTTCCTCCGAGTGTCAACTCGACCGCTGGTGTCGACCAGCATACGTGAATTCCAGTAAGCTTTCGACATGTGCATTCAGTTTTGCAATTAAATGTTTCCCCCCTCCGGATGATAAAATGGTGTGAATCGTGGCCTTCTTTCTGTCATAAGAGAATTCTACCAATGAGCTTCCATAATGACTGCAGAATTAAAGCTGATGGAGACAAAGGCCGAAAGTTCTGCATATGACTCTGCAGAAAACATGCTCTACTTTTGACTTGGATTGTTTAATTGGAAACTCGACCTCCATTTCTTTCAACCACACAAAACTGCATTTTATGTTATTCTACCCCATGTCAGACAAAAGGTATCAAATGTTGTTGTTGTAATATAACCTAAACAAAATCTCAATGGACAGAAAACTATTACAAAGCCTAATAAATGGAAACAAATCAGATCCAAAGGAAACAAGAACTAAATCTTTGTTTGCACTTTTTATTCCAACCTAAGGGTAAAAATGAGAAACCCAGATTCTAAAGTTGCCTCAGAAGCTGTGAAAAGCATCGATCAGACATTTCCAAACGTGTCTGATTCTAACCAGCCGTACAGCCTTTCAGTTTCCCCGCTCTACTTCCCCTGCTCCTGCAGCATGTTATAATGAAGACTGGTGCTTCACTACAGTGGGTCAGAACATTAACCTAAATGTGTCACCAACCTTAGCGGGCCTTGAGCTCCACAGGCTGCATTAAGTATTCAAGAAGTCTCCCTGCTCTTATTCTGCCCACTGGAACGCTCTTAATGCTTCTTGTCCTCAAAAACCCCCCCTGCCATCTCCTCCGTGCGTCTCTTTTCTCCGCTGCCAAGCCATTTCAGACTTTTCTGTAAAGAAGCTGTGTCTCAGTCGGGGTCCGACCCGGGACCCAGGCAGCGGCTGAGGGTCACAGACGGCCTCGCTGACATCACCAGCGGTGTCTTTACCTGTTCATGAAAGCTCTGCTGATAACTGAGGTGGCTTGTTTTGGGAAGATGCCATCAGGAGATGGAGAGCTCTAAATCACAGGGTTTGTGTTGTTTTTTTTTTGTTTTTTTAACCGGCAGGTATCATAAATATTAGCAGAGGAATTAAACACAAAGCTTTAAATGAATCCTGAAAACTAAAAGTTGTTGAAATCCAAAATAAAAGCTGAATATTTCAATAGAAAACCTCCTTTGTGCCATATATATCAGCTTCTTGAGGACGAATAGCTCACTCATATTTTATAACAGCGTCTCTTTTTAGTATATTTGTTATTAAAATACACAGAGTTCTAACATAGACATTCATGATTTACAAAATAAATGTGTAATTCACTTCCATATAGGACTTCATAAAAGTATTTTATAATGAATAAATAATACATTGGCCGCTGTTTGCATCATTAAAACAGCAAATCGATCCGGGATGGGAGAGAAAATCCAAAAACTTTACAGGTCCTCACGTCGTTTCCGTCCGACTCGTTCATGCTCGACTCGCACAAACAAACTCAAGTCTCAAATAGTTTCTTTTAAAAGATGCAGCTGAAGAAAAGAAAAAGAAAGAGAAAAATAACAACCTGTACACAGTTTCTTCTGCTTTCAGCAGAGCACAGTACGTGTCAGCCGGTTCCAACATGCACAGGTATAAAGCTCCAAACCATTGTGTCGCAAATGGCAAAGAAAAAAAATCCCAAATAAATCCATGATCCACGATGAAAGCTGGAGTTTAACCCAGTCCAAGAGTTCAGACGATGTATGTGGGGAGATCTGTGGAGAATTTCACATGTACATGAGGTTTCATACATCCTGAGGAGAGACCAGACCACAAGGAAGCCGAGATTAGAAGTTAGAAAACCTTAGAAAACCTTAAAAAACAAAACAAACATATAGTCAATCACAGTCATATTTACAGATATTTGGCTTTCTGATGAGTCCTTATTCACATAAAAATAAAAACCTTTTTAATTTGACAACCTTTGAGCACATTTCTGTCTTAAAATCATTTTTTAAATTGGACTGATGTAATATTCATTAGCTGTTTTTATTAGCTGAAA